AGGGTGGCAGGGATGTTGATGACAGGTGTAGTGATGTCAGGGTGACAGGGATGTTGATGACAGGCGTAGTGATGTCAGGGTGACAGGGATGTTGATGACAGGAGTAGTGATGTCAGGGTGACAGGGATGTTGATGACAGGCGTAGTGATGTCAGGGTGACAGGGATGTTGATGACAGGCGTAGTGATGTCAGGGTGACAGGGATGTTGATGACAGGTGTAGTGATGTCAGGGTGACAGGGATGTTGATGACAGGCGTAGTGATGTCAGGGTGACAGGGATGTTGATGACAGGTGTAGTGATGTCAGGGTGACAGGGATGTTGATGACAGGTGTAGTGATGTCAGGGTGACAGGGATGTTGATGACAGGTGTAGTGATGTCAGGGTGACAGGGATGTTGATGACAGGTGTAGTGATGTCAGGGTGACAGGGATGTTGATGACAGGTGTAGTGATGTCAGGGTGACAGGGATCTTGATGACAGGCGTAGTCATGTCAGGGTGACAGGGATGTTGATGACAGGCGTAGTGATGTCAGGATCGCAGGGATGTTGATGACAGGAGTAGTGATGTCAGGGTGACAGGGATGTTGATGACAGGTGTAGTGATGTCAGGGTGACAGGGATGTTGATGACAGGAGTAGTGATGTCAGGGTGACAGGGATGTTGATGACAGGCGTAGTGATGTCAGGGTGACAGGGATGTTGATGACAGGCGTAGTGATGTCAGGATGGCAGGGATGTTGATGACAGGAGTAGTGATGTCAGGGTGACAGGGATGTTGATGACAGGCGTAGTGATGTCAGGGTGACAGGGATGTTGATGACAGGCGTAGTGATGTCAGGGTGACAGGGATGTTGATGACAGGAGTAGTGATGTCAGGGTGACAGGGATGTTGATGACATCCATAGTCATGCAGCATAATTGGGAAGAGAAAGAACGATGCTCTTTGCAGATAAATGGGTGAGTGTATCAAACGACACTCAATAAATATGTGGACATCTGTGTAAAGACCTGCTAAGCAGAGCAAGGTGATGTCTGCAGGGCGAGGTCAGGGACTGTTGGCTTCCATTACGGGTCTCAGCCGCACTGCACAGCCTGCTTCTCTCAGTACACACACCTCCTTATCTGACATTTCCCTTTGGTTTTTTTGTTTGTTTGTTTGTTTGTTTGTTTTAAGCAGTGTAGTTTGAATGATTAGAAATAATTAAAGTTATTATCTGCTTGCTCAATTAGGATGGCTTTCAAGCAAGACATCGTCTCATATAGTTTTTAGATTAAGTTATAAATGTTCACTTTAGAACTTCCTGAAGATTGATAGAGATGCATTTGAAAAGCATTATTTTTTTTATTGATTCTTAATGTAGTAAATTACTGAAGTTACTTGGCAGCAAACAGAAGTGGTCTGTAGTGTGGCTCACATTTATTCTCCTGATAGAGCCACAATTTGCATTAATTACATTGCAACTGCACTTACTTATATTAAAAGGCTTCTACCATAATTAATCCTTTTTATTTCAAATCATTTTGGCACAATTTCTAGCCATAAACACTCATAAAGGACAGACAGTTGAAAAATACGTTACAGGATTTTTCCATATACCTAGTGCTATTTTTTTCCTGACAGGTAGTTATTGATAAGCTTGAAGGAACAAGTGTAGCACAAGTGGCTGGAAAAATGCTAAGTGGATTATTTTGCATAAAAAATAGGCCATTTTGAAGTTGTATAATTAACCTGTTTAGAAAATACCTTGATTTATGCTTACATTTGTATCTCGGTCGCATACATTATGGAAATTTAATTTATAATCCATTTAGCTGATGCAATCATAGTTTTTAGTGCTATCATTTATTAGTGCTTGTATATTAAACACTCCAAAGGTTTAAACCTGCCTTATGTAAAAAATTATACCTATGCATTTACATTTTATGAGTCACAGTGGGATTTCTGTTTAAAATTCAGGTGGCTCTGATACATTTAAGGAATTTCTCTGGATTATTGTTACTAATGCGGAAATGGCAAACAATGACCTTACGTATTGAACACCAGTGATTTACACCTCCAGCTTACGTTTAAAGTCACGGTGCAGATGAACACCTGGGATCAATCAAGTAGCTGGATGCAGAGTGTTCTACCAGGCTTGGAGCTCATCATTCACTTGGAAGTGATGGTGCCCATAAGTGCTCCAGGCTAATAGTATTAACCATTCCTAACTTAAGCAAATTGTGGCTTGTTGGAACAAGTCTTTATTTACATTATCAGCAGATACTAAGTGCTAGTTGTCATTATCTTACCCAGTTTCTCTTTAAGAAGTTCTTTTTTTTTTTTTTTTGTCGGTTGTGGGGCTTGAACTCTGGGCCTGGGCGCTGTCCCTCAGCTCTTCAGCTCAAGGCGAGCGCTCTACCACTTGAGCTACAGCGCCACTTCCGGTTTTCTGGTGGTTTATTGGAGATAGGAGTCTCACGGTCTCTCCTGCCCGGGCTGGCTTTGAACCGCGATCCTCAGATCTCAGCCTCCTGAGTAGCTAGGATTACAGGCGTGAGCCACCAGCGCCCAGCTTCTTTAAGAAGTTCTTGAATGCCATTCTTTCAGATTAATTAAGAAATCATTGGTCTTCACATCACAAATAAAGCGCAAGGACACAGTACTGAGCCTTCTGGCTGAGGCTGCCACGGTCCAGAGAGAATGCTGTCTGTGCTGCCTTGGGACTACTGCAAGTGAACAAGACACCAGTTTATTTGGTGTTTATTTGGGAGACTGTATTACCGGCTGTTTTCTAGCGTCCTCCTGTCATTTACAGAGGGCGAGACCAGGGGATCGGAGGCCGCGTTGGCGGGGTGTATAGATGGATGGCAGTGAGATCAGGTACAGCCGGCCAGTAGAAGTTGGGAGATGGATCCGTGCCCCAGAGCAGCGTAGACCTGGTGCAGGCCCGTCCAGCTTGCTCTAGCTTTTCAACTCCCCTGCCTCAGTTTACCCAGACCTGTGTGCCTGGACAGTCCGGTCTTGCCCTGGTGTGTATGATGTGGTCTGGTAGTAGGTTTCCAGTGGGAAGAGAATCCTAACCACCCTGGAGATGATGTTTGGATTGTGTCTGGACGTGGCGTGTGTCATGCTAAACTGTGGGGCAGAGGGACCTGGCAGTGCCTGGGCCGCGCTCCCACAGCCTGGCTCAGTGCAGCACTTAGAAGGTGGGCCGCGGCCGCTGGGCCGGGCGTGGGGGTGGGCCGGGCGTGGGCGGGGGGCTCTCTTTTTGTCTGTCTCTGCCTCTGTGGTTGATTTTCCACAATCCTGGGCAGCAGTCCCAGTTCTCCATCTCTAACGTGAGAAAGAGGCCCCTCCCCTCTTCTGGAAAAGGGGGTTCTCGCCGACCAAGCAGGGTGCTCGCACCCTGTCCTTTGACCACCAGCAGGGGTGGGAGTTCTTACATACCCTATGTAACAGGAACCTGCTCATGCCCAGTCATGTAAAGGTCTGATACTGATGCCAGGCCGTGCAGCAGGGTTTGCCTGAGGGCCTAGGGCCTTCTGTGAGGGAGGGAGGCCCGAGGCCCGACCTCCACAGCCCTGGCCCAGGACTGCCAAGTGAGAGGGTGACCTCTGTGGCCTGTCACTGCAGGTTACAGGAAGTGTGAGTGGGTGTGGCATTGTTAGGTCATCATGCATCCGAATGCTTGGATAGCAAGGAAAAAGTAACTTGAAGTAATGCAGGTACCCGTGGCTCACCCCTGTGATCCTAGCTAGTCGAGGCTGAGATCTGAAGATCAAAATCGGAAGCCAGCTTGGGAGAAGTCCATGAGACTCTAAGTAACCACCACCCAAAAAAAAGCTGGAAGTAGAGCTGTGGCTCAGGTGGTAGAGTGGCAACCTTGAAAATTTTAAGGGGGCTGGGAAGGTGGCTCAGTGGTAGAGCACTTGCCTTGTATGCATGAGGCCCGGGGTTCAATTCTTCAGCACCACATAAACCAAAAGCAAAAAGCCGGAAGTGGCACTGTGGCTCAAGTAGTAGAGAGCTAGCCTTCTGCTGAAGAGCTGAGGGACACCACCTAGGCCCAGAGTTCAAGCCCCACGACCGGCCCCCCCCCCCCCCAAAAAAAATTTAAGGGACAGCTGGGTGCCAAAGGCACACCCCTGTCATTCTAGCTACTCAGAAGGATGAAATCTGAGGATCGAGGTCTGAAGCCAGCCTGGGCTGGAAGCTCCTTGAGAGTGTTCTCTCCCATTAGCCACCAAAAAGTTGGACGTGGAGCTGTAGTTCAAATAGTAGATCACAAGATCAAGTGGTAGATCACACAAAAGTTTAGGGACATCATCCAGGCCCCGAGTTCAAGCTCCGGAACTGGCACCAAAAAGAAAAGACCCTCCAGCCTCAGCCTTCCAAGTGCTGAGAAGAAGCATTTCCTAACATGTAAAGCTCATGTGTATTGCACACGCTGTCACTGCAGAGCTGGTAACTGGGAAAGATGGCCTGGCCCGTGTCGAGGCCCCAGCATACCCAAGAGTGAATACAACTGTCACTGGGAAATGAAATCCTTACAGATTTGGAGGAAGGATTCCAAAATCCAGTGACCAGACTGCTTGTGAGGGAGAGGAGAGAAGCCGCACAAAGCAGATTCACAGTAGAGTAATGAAGCTGAAGCTAAGAACAAGAATGACCGAACCCTAGTGCTGGAAAGGCTGGTGAAGAGCCCTTTATTTTAGCCTTCAGAGGCAGCCCTGTCCCTCCGTACCTTTGTGTTGCAATGAGTCTGCCATTCGTGATGACTCGGTACAACAGCCCAGAACACTTGCAAGCTTAAAACATTTAAGGAAGACACTTGCTGGTCTCTGTTGCCGCCTGAAAGGGCCCATCTTGCGTTCACATCCTGTGGCCTGTCCCCGGCTGCCACAGGGCTGTCTGCATGCAGAAGGCATGGGCAGCCTGGCTGTGGCAAGCCCCGGTGTCTGTCTGCAGGAAGCAGAAGGAAGCTTGCGCGTGCTAACCCCTGTCCGCTCTCTGTTTAAAGGCGCTTTATGAAAACATGCTCGTGGAGCTGCCCTTCGCAGGCTTTTTCCTGTCCAAGCTGCTGGGGACCAGTGCCGACGTGGACATCCATCACCTGGCCTCCTTGGACCCCGAGGTGTACAGGAACCTTCTGTTTCTCAAGAGCTACGAGGAGGATGTGGAAGAGCTGGGGCTGAACTTCACTGTGGTGAACAACGACCTGGGGGAGGCCCAGGTGAGTCCCAGACCCCAGGCTTGCGCCCACTCCCGTCCTCACCAGCCCTGAGCCTGTGCCTGCCGCCTGCCCTCCCCTCCTCCGCCGGAGCCCCGCCTCCTCCAGCCTCCCACCCACCCGCCTGGCCCCTCCCACCCTGACGGGAGCCTGCTAACCAGCCCTCCTCCTTGTCCCGTGCCTTCTGGGCCCTCCCGCTGCCTGTGAGGATTTCTGTTCTTTTCTTTTTCTTTCTTTTTGTTTTGCACAACTCTATTGGAGTTTCAAACTTTTCTTTTTTGAGAAGAGATATCTATATGTAACCCAGGCTGGCATCAAACTCAATCTTGACTGCCTCCCAAGTGCTGGGATTACAGGGGTGAACCACCACAACCTGTCTCCAACCTAATTTGCTGGGTGTGGGTGGATGTGGGTGGGTGTGTGTTGGTCGTGGGGCCTGAACTCTGGGCCTGGGCGCTGTCCCTCAGCTCTTCAGCTCAAGGCTAGCACTCCACCACTTGAGCCACAGCACCACTTCCAGCTTTTTCTGCTTATGTGGTGCTGAGGAATCGAACCCAGGGCCTCATGCATGCAAGGCAAGCACTCTACCACTGAGCCACCTTCCCAGCCCTAATTTTCTTAATAGCAGCTTTATTGCAATTGAATTCACACGCCACAAAGCGTACCTGCTCTGAGTGTAAAGATCGGTGCTTTTAGTATGCAAGAATATATAATACAGCTGATAGAGCTATGAGCCATCGCCACAGCTAAATGTAGAATATGACATTTCTATCCTAGACCTCCTCAGCACCCCTGCACAGCGTCCTGTCAGCTTACTCTGTGGTTAAAAGGCCTACCACTTGCAAAGCCCTGAGAAATACAGAGGCTGGACACGTGGGATGTCTCACTGCCTCCAGCTGCACAGTTACGTGGCCATTACCCAATTTCACTTCAGAAATTGCTGTTTGCACCTGACTGCCTCATTTTCAATCCCACCAGCAAGGCAGGAGGCCCCCGTTTTCCCAATACTTCCTCCTTCCTCCTCCTCCTCTTCCCCCCCCATCCCCCCACTCCAAGAGAGGACAGTCCTGCCAATACTGGTAGAACTGAGGCAGTAACCTGAGTGTTGCTCTGAGTCTCCCGTTGCACAGATCTGGTTCAGCACTGTGCTCTGTATGTGTGCATGCACACAGTACTCAAGGTCTGCATCCCCTGCCCTGCTGTCTCTGGGGTGGCATCGGCACAGGGCACAGCCTCTCTGGTTAGACCGTAGGCTCTGAAGCACAGAGGGCTGTGGCTGTGAGTGTTGCTCAGTGCACTGTCATGTGTTTTCTGTGCACAAGTCCCGGATGTCCATCTCCATCAAACCCACACTCCCCCACCCCCAGCCAAGAATACACACGCATGCGCGTGTACACACACACACATTTGAATATGCAGATGTCTAAATCTTCTGGTTATGGCTTTAAAATGATCCTCTTTTAGAACGTGAGTTTTCAGTCTGTTTCTCAGCCTTTAAACTCACCTATTACAGAAATAGGCTTGGATTAAATCCTAGGTTGGAGTAAGGAATATCAACACTGCTTGAGCAGTGTTATTTGAACTGACAACAGTGTCATGAATCAGGACTGAGAGAGGCGGGGCTGAGTTTAACTTAGTTGCAGCTTGGTTGTGTTTGGTTCAGTGTGTTGTCGGAAGTGTAAAACTAGCCGTAAGTTGAAGTGGGACTGGAAGGCAAACGTCGTTGTCCTGTAGACAGTGCTGTGTGCTGCTGGTGCCCTGTACCTCCTGGAGGGATGCTAGAAAGCGGAATAGCATTCTAGAGCAGGTCACAGCAGTTTTAATGTGTAGCACTTCCCAGCAGGCTTCAAGCCACCAGCCTCCTGAATAGCTAGGATTACAGGCCTGAGCTACCTGCACTCAGCTAGGATTTCAAATTAAAAGTAGGATTTTAAATTAACAGTGGCTCACACCTGTAATCCTAGCTACTCAGGAGACTGATCAGGTTCAAAGCCAAAGCCAGCCCCAGCAGGAAAGGCCATGAAACATTTATCTCTTAATTAACCACCAAAATCCTGCAACTACAGTTAGGGCTCAAGTGGTAGAGCTCTAGCCTAAAGGAATAAACCTGAGGGCTAGGGTCCAGGCACTGAGTACAAGACCAGTCCCCTCCCCACCAAAAAAAATTTTTTTTAATCCAACCGTTTTAAAGTTATTAGAAATATTCATTGTTTCTGATTAGCCAAGGTAATTGGAGCTTTCAGAATTCCGTAAACTGAAAACTTCACTGGTCCTGTGCCTTCCAAGTCACACCAGCACGCCATCATTTATTACCTGCCTTAATCCACTTAAAGGACGGATGTTGTTTTTATGTATGGAAGTCTAATAGCTAGCCTCAGGAGACCTAGTAACAGATGGACTGTCCCCGAGTGCTGGCAGAGGAATTAAGGTGATGAACTGTCTGTACTCAGCCCAGAGACAATTGTTTGAAAGCCCATTGTTAGATTAGATGGTTCCAAAATTTAAAAGCGTAAATTAGTAAAGAAGACCAAATTATCATTAAAAAGGTGAAGCCATTCAGGAGACTGAGATTGGAGGATCAATTCAAAGCCAACCTAGGCAGGAAAGTCCTTGAGCCTCTGATTTCCAGTTAAACACACACAGAGTCAGAAGGGGAGCTGTATTCCTAAGCAAAAAGGTTCATGGACTGCACCTGGGTCAGGAATAGAGGGAGGGAGACAGAACCAAAAACACTTGTGAAAACTACAATCTAGTTCTTGATGTCTCTGGTGCACGCTGGCACTGCTGCGCTCCTTGTGTTTCCCAACCCTCTGTACACTTACAGGTTCTAAGTGTGGTTGTGTCCTGCTTTCTCTCGTTTGGTTATTTTTGAGATAAGGTCTTACTGTATAGTCCAATCTAGCCTTGACCTTGAGATGTTCCTGCCTTTCTTCCCAACTGCCCAGCTTTGGTTTTGAGGTAGGGTCTCATACCTTTTTGCTCAGGCAAGCCTTGAATTCTAATCCTCCCTTTCTCTAACACCCAAGTTAATGGAATTACAGGTGAGCTCCACCGTCTGCTGTCTCTATAGAAATAGAAGTGTGAGGGGCTGGGAAGGTGGCTCAGTGGTAGAGCGCTTGCCTTGCATGCATGAGGCCCTGGGTTCGATTCCTCAGCACCACATAAGCGAAAAGAAAAAAGCTGGAAGTGGCGCTGTGGCTCAAGTGGTAGAGCGCTAGCCTTGAGCTGAAGAGCTGAGGGACAGCACCCAGGCCCAGAGTTCAAACCCCATGACCGGACCAAAAAAAAATTTATTTTTTTTTTAAATAAAAAAAGAAGTAGAAGTGTGAGGAGCCAGGCACTGGTGGCTCACACCTGTAATCGTAGCTGAGATCTGAGGGTCACCATCCAAAGCCAGCCCGGGCAGGAAAGTCCATGAGACTCTTATCTCCAGCTAACCACCAGAAAACAGGAAAGTGGCACTGCGGCTCATAATGGTAGAGTGCTAGCTTTGAGCAAAAGAGCTCAGGGACAGTGTCCAGGCCATGAGTTCAGGCCCGACAACTGATGACAAAAAAAAGTCTGAGCCATACAGTAACTGAGTTACTGTTTTTCCACAGCCTCAACGCTTTCAGTTACATTTTCTCCAGAGTGAAGTCTTTATTCTCTCCTGGCTTAAGCTCATTTGTTTAGAGTATTGTCTTTTCCATGTGCCAGTGGTTCATATCTGTGATCATAGTTACTTAGGAGGCGGTGATCTGAGGTTGTGGTTCAAAACCAGCCCAAGCTGGAAAGTCCATGAGACTCTTTAAGTGACCAGCACAAAGCCAGAAGTAAGGTATAGCCTAAATGGTAAAGCACCAGCCTTGAGCAGTAAAAGCTAAGGGACTGTGCCCAGAAATAGTACTGGCACAAAGAAAAAAGTTTCTTTTTAATAAATTTGCTATTGTTGGGTGGTGTGTTGTTTTTTTGCTACTTGAACTCAGTGCCATGCATTCTTCATTGTTTGCTTATTACTGGTGCTTTGCCCCTTGAGCCACACCTTCAACTGGCTTTTTATTAATTTAGTTGGAGACACAGTCTCAAGGACTTTCGCTTGCTTCCAACTGTGATCTTCCAGTTTTCTTGAGAAGTTGAGTTTACAGTGTAAACTCGGAGTGCCTGCCTTGGGAGTCATCTTTGAACCTGCAGTGTTGTATCCTGGTTGTACTGTTTTGTATTAGTTTCTTTGTTTCCTATTATCATACTCTGGACCTTTGGTTGTCCTGTGCTTCATCCTCTAAGGTAGTTGAGCTAAAGCTTGGTGGGAAGGATATTCCTGTCACGGGTGCCAATCGCATTGCGTACATCCACCTAGTAGCTGACTACCGGCTGAACAAGCAGATCCGCCCACACTGCCTGGCTTTCCGACAGGGCTTGGCCAACGTCGTCAGCCTGGAGTGGCTCCGGATGTTTGATCAGCAGGAAATTCAGGTACACTCTCTCCTGACCATTGGGGATACATTGTTTCAGGAAATGGAAAGCTTCCTTTAAAATAAAACCTGCCTCCCATTTTACAACTTTATTTTTTAGGTATTAATTTCTGGTGCACAAGTTCCTATAAGTCTAGAGGACCTAAAATCCTTCACCAACTATTCAGGTATGTCATAGCCTAACTGAATATGATTCCTGAGATGTTATAGGCAGTCAGGTCTCCAAATCAGCTTCTAGTGGAATCTTTATGTGTGTAATTAATGTTGCTTAAGAACCAGAATGCAAGCCGGGTGCCAGTGGCTCACGCCTGTAATCCTAGCTACTCAGGAAGCTGAGATCTGTGGATCATGGTTCAAAGCCACCCTGGGCAGGAAAGTCCAATTAACCACCAGAAAACCAGAAATGGCGCTGTGGCTCAAGTTGTAAAGCGCTTGCCTTGAGCTGAAGAGCTGAGGGACAGCGCCCAGGCCCAGAGTTCAAGTTCCACAACCAACAAAAAAAAAACGAACCAGAATTCTAGAGGAGGCAAAAGCAGTGATGCATGGGTGTGTGGATGGATGGACGGACGGACGGACGGACGGACAGACAGACAGACAGGTAAGTAGATACATGAATGCATGGATTCATGGATGCCTGCTTGAAGCCACTATTCTCTGTGTCCTGGAAGGTTTCCTCTTTTCTCCAATAAAGTCAGCCTTGAGCTGAAGAGCTGAGGGACAGTTACCAGGGTCAAAGTTCAAACCCCACAACCGACCAAAAATAAACTTTTTGGGGGGGGGGGGGTCCAGTCGTGGGGCTTGAACTCTGGACCTGGGCGCTGTCCCTCAGCTCTTCAGCTCAAGGCTAGCGCTCTACCACTTGAGCCACAGCGCCACTTCTGGCTTTTTTCTTTTTGCTTATGTGATGCTGAGGAATTGAACCCAGGGCCTCATGCATGCAAGGCAAGCGCTCTATCACTGAGCCACCTTCCCAGCCCATAAATAATATTTTTTTTTTTAATTTGTTACTGCCGGGCGCCGGTGGCTCACGCCTGTAATCCTAGCTACTCAGGAGCCTGAGATCTGAGGATCATGGTTCAAAGCCAGCTCGGGCAGGAAAGTCCGTGATACTCCTATCTCCAATAAACCACTAGAAAGCCGGAAGTGGCGCTGTGGCTCAAGCGGTAGAGTGCTAGCCTTCAGCTGAAGAGTGCAGGGACAGAGCCCAGGCCCAGAGTTCTGTTTTTGGTCTGTAGTGGGGCTTGAACTCGGCCTGGGTACTGTCCCTGAGTACTTTGGCTCAAGGCGAGCGCTCTGCCACTTTGAGCCATCACCTTTCCCTTGTTCTCTACCAGTTTTAAAATAATTTTAAGTATTCTGGGCTGGAAGCATTGATATATATTTATAATCCCAGAACTTGGAGACAAAGGTAGTAAAATCACAAGTTCAAGGCCAGCCTGTGCTGTATAGTGTAGTGAGACCTTATCTCAATAGGCAGGTAGGCAGCCGGGTTTGGCAACACCTGTCTGTCATTCCAGCCATCAGGAGGCTTGTGAGTTGGGAGTCCAGCCTGGTCAACATGGATAGACCACCAGGAGGAAAGTGAAAGGACAAACCACAGATTAGGAGAAAACAGCATACATAATGATGAATTTGTATTTAGGTCTATGAAAACTCTTGCTATGGGGCTGGGAAGGTGGCTCCGTGGTAAAGTGCTTGCCTTGCCTGCATGAGGCCCTGGGTTCCATTCCTCAGCACCATATAAGCAGAAAAAGCCAGAAGTGGCGCTGTGGCTCAAGTGGTAGAGCGCTAGCCTTAAGCTGAAGAGCTAAAGGACAGCGCCCAGGCCCAGAGATCAGGCCCCACGACCGACAACAACAAAAAACAAAACAAACAAAAAGAAAGACTCTTGCATTAGAAATAGGGGCAAAATACTTAAAAGGACATTTTTAAGTATCTTTAGTGGCCAGTAAGCCATTTCGTTTCAAATTAAGCCCACCCTAAACTGGCTGTAGATAAGAAGGAAGTCAGTTTCCAGTGTGAGCCAGTCTGTGGAGACATTAGCAGGCAGTAGAGACTCGAGCTTCTCTGGTGGAAGTATAGAGGTATCTATATAGTTGAATGTGGAGTTAACTGAGTGTTGGTCTTTACACCCCAGCTCCCACACAGACCAGTATGACTTGATAGATCACTAGCCTTCCCAGAAGAGTTCGTGAAATCACAGCCTAGAGCCAGTGGCTGGCACATACCTGAAATCCAAGATGCTCAGGAGACTGAGATCTAATGATCACAGTTAAAGCCAGCCCCAACAGGAAAGCCACCAAAATACTGGAAGTAGAGCTGTTTCTCAAGTGGTAGAGCATCAGTCAGCTTTGAGTAGAAAAAGCTCTAAGGGACAGTACAGAGGCCCTGAATCCAAGCCTCCCCCAAAAAAGAGAGGGATAACTGGGTGCCAGTGGCTCACGCCTGTAATCCTAGTTACTCAGGAGGCTGAGATATACAGATCACGGTTCAAAACCAGCTTGGGCAGGAAAGCCCATGAGACTCTTCACTCTAGTTAACCACCAGAAAGCCAAAGTGGATCTGTGGCTCAAGTAGCAGAGCACTAGCCTTGAGGAAAAAACAACTCTGGGACAGCACCCAAGATCAGCACCCAAAAAACCCACTATTAGAACTTACCTCACACTCATTAGGATAGCCATTACTAAAGAAAAATCAGAAAATAGAAGGTGTTGAATAGAATGTGCAATATAAAATAGCTCAACTGTTCTGGAAGAGGATCTGACTAGTTCTCCAAAGAATGGAGCATATGCTAGGGGTTGGAACTCAATGAAAGAGTGCCAGCCAGCCGGGCGCCGGTGGCTCACGCCTGTCATCCTAGCTACTCAGGAGGCTGAGATCTGAGGATCACGGTTCAAAGCCAGCCGGGCAGGAAAGTCTGTGAGACTCCTATCTCCAATAAACCACTAGAAAGCCCAAAGTGGTGCTGTGGCTCACGCGGTAGAGTGCTAGCCTTGAGCTGAAGAGCACAGGGACAGCGCCCAAGCCCAGAGTTCAAGCCCTACGACCGACCAAAAAAAAAAAAAAAAGTGCCAGCCCTTGAACAAAATAGCCAAGTGAGGTGGGGCACTGGTGGCTCACACCTTAATCCTCGGAAATCAGGAGCCTGAGATCTGAGGATTGCAGTTCAAAGCCAGCCTGGGCAAGAAAGTCTGTGAGACCCTTACCTCCAGTTGACTGCTATTAGAGCTAGAAGTGAAGCTAGTAGAGCTGACCAGTCCTTGAATTCAAGCCCCAGTACCAGGGTGCACACGTACACATAGGAAACTGGTTATGCTGATCATTGTGAATTACAACCCTGAATTGGTGTTTTGAACTGTTTTAGAATTGAACTCAAATCTTTATATATACAGGCAAACAATACCTAACGTCACACTCAAGTCCCCATACTAAAGTCTTAAGTTTGAGGAAATGGAATCAGTCTGACCTTTACTTTGCCAAGAAATGGACCTGATTATTTGCATGACCCAATTTGCACTGAAGGCTTACACCTTTAATGATCTTAGCTATTCCCGTAAATAGGCTTACTTAAGATATTATCATAGTCATTTCGCCTCCAATTAGTGCACTTCAGATATTTTATTGATGTTATTTCTACAGTGTATTAACAATGAGGGAACAATATATAGCTATTATTTTAGTTTTAGGGAGCATTTAAAGAAATTAAAAGCTATAAGTAGCAGATAGTACATTTTAGAATAACGGTCTAGTCACATGCAGGCCTGGTTGTTGGCCATGCTCTGCACTTTATTATCAGAAGGAGAGGTGATAAATTAACATAGATACCAAGATCTCGTTGGCCAAATTCCTGGCTCTATTAAAATAAAAGTCCCGGTGTCTTCCCTTCTCCAGCCGTACGGTCATGTGTGCGGACACCTCAGTGTCTGCTTGGGGATGGTGACTTTGGGGTGCTTCTGGCCAGGCTCAGGGGGCACACGCTCATCTAGCTGGCTACTCCAGAGGCGAGAGCTGAGGATCATCGTGGCACAAGGCCAGCCTGGGCAGGAAAGTTCATGAGGCTGGAAATGGTGCCGTGGCTTAAAGTAATAGAAGCACTAGCTTTGAGCACAAAAGCCCAGGGACAGCGCCCAAGTCATGAGTTTGAGCCTCAGGACCAGCACACACAGAGAAAAAGAACTCAGACTTTGTGAAGGACCTGCCAGCACCCCCTTCTGACTCTCCATGCCTTCTTTGCAAAGTAGCCGGGCATCGGGGCTCTTACCTGTCATCCTAGCTACTCAGGAGGCTGAGATCTGAGGATTGGGGGTCAAAGCCAGCCCAGGCAGGAAAGACTGTGAGATTCTTATCATCAATAGCAGAAGTGGTGCTGTGGCTTAAGTGGTAGAGCACTAGCCTTGAGCTGAAGAGCTCAGTCAGGGACAGCGCCCAGGCCCAGAGTTCAAGACCCACAACTGACCAAAAAAACCTTCAAAACTAGCAAGGGCAGGAGAGACCTGAGAACCCTCATCTCCAAATAAGGGTGGAGCTGGGGAGATAGCTCTAGAGCTCCCCCCTCCTGTGACAGGTAAGGGGAAACGTGGGAGTCGTTCCCCGAGTTTGGGGCCTGGTGCTTTTCAGAGAATCCTCTTCGATATTGTTTGTAATGCAGTTTGTGCATTTTGTCCTAGGAGGCTATTCTGCCGATCATCCCGTCATTAAAATCTTTTGGAGAGTTGTAGAAGGCTTCACTGATGAAGAAAAGCGCAAACTGCTCAAGTTTGTGACCAGCTGCTCTAGACCGCCTCTCTTGGGATTTAAGGTACATAGCTTTGATGCAGTTTGCTTCCTACCAAGCTCAGTCGTGCTTGGTAGTTGGTACCTGTATCTCTCCTTGGGTTTGCTGTGTGCCACAGCACTGACCCAGGCATGTGGTTGAACACACCTGTGTTGGGATAGAGTCTGGTCTCCTGAATCCACCATGCTTTTACTTATGAACTGAAGAAATCTCAGTCTGCAAATGTTGGTCTGGTGTATATGAGCAGAAGTAAATTGTTATTCTAATTGTCTCTATTATGTTCTGTGACATAACCTTATTTTGTTGCTTCTCGAAATTAATGCTGATCTCATATAGCTTGGTGTACAATTATAATTGCTTGAGGAATAATATTTCTTAGTTATGAAATAAGATTAAGGGCTGGGAAGGTGGCTCAGTGGTAGAGCACTTGCCTTGCATGCATGAGGCCCTGGGTTCGATTCCTCAGCACCACATAAGCAAAAAGAAAAAAGCCGGAAGTGGCGCTGTGGCTCAAGTAGTAGTGCACTAGACTTGAGCTGAAGAGCTGAGGGGACAGTGCCCAGGCCCAGAGTTCAGGCCCCACGACCGGACCCAAAAATAAATAAATAAAAAGAAATAAGATTAAATGAAGTCTCCATACTTGAGTACACAGTGGTGGGTGGTATGATACAGAATAATACTGAATTGGAAAAGCCTTTTGTATTACTTACATTACTTTATCTATGAAACATTTACAGTTCTGAGTGAAGTTGCTTCTTAACCTTTGCTTTAGATTTATCTTAAATGGTCAGGTGCTGGAGGCTCAGACTTATAATCCTACCTAGGATTACAGGAGCCTGAGATCTGAGGTCGAGGTTCAAAGCCAGCCTAGGCAGGAAAGTCTGTGATACTGTCATGTCTAGTTAACCACCAAAAAGCGGTAAATCACCAGCCTTGAGCTATAAAGCTAACAGTTCCCAGGCCCTGAGCTCAAGCCCTAGGACCATTATGTATGCTGTTTTCTCCTAATCTGTGGTTTGTCCTTTCACTTTCATTGGTGGCAGGTGGATGCTCTCCACCTCTTAGTTTACGGTGTGAGCAGCAGCTCCGCTGCCCCTGGCAGGTTAGAAGTGGACCTTCTGGGTGTCTGCAGCTCTGACCATGATTTGGGCAGTAAGATGGTCGCCTGCCCTCCATGCTCTGGAGCATGCTGACTTGCCACCACCCGTCCCCTGCCGTTGTATGGAGCGCCCCTGCCTTCCCTGGGTGCAGCCCTTGACGGTGCCACGGGTACAGCAAGTTCTCCTGGGAATTAGCCCCCCCACACACACACACACACCCCGCCCTGCCATCGAGAGTGTGCTGGGGCAGGTCACTCCTGCCCCCGGCACCCACCTGCCTGTGGGGAGCTGCATTCTTCTCAGGGCCCCAGGCTGGAGCCAGGCCAGACAGGTGACAGCCGATGATGGACTTCCACACACAGCACAGCAAGCACCAGCAAAGAACCATGGCACCAGTGGAAGAAGGGAGACACCACTCGGTCTAACGTGTCTGAAGTGCAGAAGAGCGAGTCTGTAGCTTTTTTGGTTTGGTTTGAGTTTTTTGTTTTTTGGGGGTTTTTTTTGGCCAGTTCTGGGGCTTGAACTCTGGCCCTGATGCTGTCCCTGAGCTCTTCAGCTCAAGGCTAGTGCTCTACCACTTGAGCCACAGTGCCACTTGTGGCTTTTTCTGCATATATGGTGCTGAGGAATCGAGCCCAGGGTCTCATACATGCGAGGCAAGCACTCGACCACTGAACCACCTTCCCAGCCTGCTTCTGTAGCTTTTGGAGGATGTAGAAATGTTCCAAAACTGGTTTGTGCAGATGATTGTATTCATCTACAGATGCGTTGGAATTACTGAAATTACAGCCAGGTGCCAGTGGCTCACACCTGTCATCCTAGCAACTCAGGAGGCTGAGATCCGAGGATCACAGTTCAAAGCCAACCCTGGCAAGGAAGGCCATGAACCACTCATCTTTAATTAACCACCCAAAAGCTGGAAACAGAGCTGTGGCCCAAGTGGTAAAAGCACCATTCTTGAGTGGAAAAGCTAAGGGTTAATGCCCAGGCCTAATTTCAAGCCCCAGGAGTAAAATAGAAAAACTAAGAGGGGGCCTGGGGGTTTAGCCAGCGGAAGGGCTCCCGCCTGGCGTGCACAAGGCCCTGGGTTCGGTCCTCAGCCGGGGGGGGGGGGGGGCAGGGGGGACTAAGAGGGAGCAAAAGCAAAGCTGTGGGTGTGGGTGTGTTTCGGTTTTGGGGTTTGAACTCTGTACTTGAGTGCTGTCCCGGGGGGGGGGGGGGGGGGTTGTGTGTGTGTGTGTGTGTTTCGGTTTTGGGGCTTGAACTCTGGGCCTGGGTGCTGTCCCTAAGGTGTGTGCGTGTGTGTGTGTGTGTGTGTGTGTGTGTGTGTGTGTGTGTTTCAGTTTTGGGGCTTGAACTCTGGGCCTGGCGCTGTCCCTCAGCTCTTCAGCTCATGGCTAGGGCTCTACCACTTGAGCCACAGAACCACTTCTGACTTTTTCTGCTTATGTGGTGCTGAGGAATTGAACCCAGGGCCTCATGCATGCAGAGCAAGCCCTCTACCACTGAGCCACCTTCCCAGCCCGATAATTTGGAAATAAATAAAATAGAAAGGAAGAAAAGCAAGGGAAGGCAAGATGGGAGGTGTGGTTCTTTTTTTTTGCCGATTATGGGGTTTGAACTCGGCCTGGCGCTGTCCCCCAGCTCTTCATCTGCACACCAGTGCTCTACCACCTGAGTCTCAGCCCCACTTGCAACTTTTTCTGCTTATGTGGTACTGAGGAATGGAACCGAGGGCCTCACACATGCAAGGCAAACGCTCTACCACTGAGCCACCTTCCCAGCCCAGGAGGCATGGTTCTTTAAAGCAGAAAGACTTTGAAGCTTGGCCCTGTTGGTAGTGACAGTGGCTCCTGGCCCAGTGTGTGGCTCCTCTCCTCTCCTTTCCTCTCCTCTCCCCTTCTTCTCTCTCTCCTCTCCTCTCCCCCCTCCTCTCTTCTCTCTCTCCCCCTCCTCTCCTCCTCTCGTCTCCCCCCCCCAGCTGCAGTGCTGCAGAGGGCAGAGCAGGTGAGGCAGTACGCAGCTGCAGTGCTTGGCTGCAGAAGCACAGCGTACGACGCAGATTACAGGTTAACATGTTTAATGAACGTGATTGTTACAGACCAAAAAAGTGCCATGGAGAATTGTTCAATTCCATCAGGCCATGCAATAAATAAATGGATGGTTTTTCTCCTTCTGAATTAATGCAGGTTCCCGTTCTATATTTAATTATGCACGAAATGGTGCCTGTGACTCAGATTTCAGTGAAGAACTTCATCTCACTTTAAAGATTTTTAAGTAGGAAATTCAATTAGCATTATTAAAAAAAAAGTGGAGTTTCACTAAACAAACCTTCTCAAGCGTTGGGGTGGCTCAGCGGCTTGGCAGGCCTCCCCGCAGTCAGAGCCTTTCTCTCCCTCAAAAGAGCATGCTTCCTGCCCGTATTGGGGTTTGAACTTGGGCCTCCTGCATGGTCCTGGGGAAACGTGCCCCTGGCCCACCACATGTGTGTCTTATATTTAACAAAGACAGTCGGAAAATAAGAAGTCTTAACTGTGTTATCTGTGGTTTATGCGTGTGAGCATGCATTGAGATGCAAACACATAACTGAGTGTCCAGCCCTAGGGCTGTGCTCAGTCCTGCGCTCCTGGGTTTTGCTTTTTCATTCAAGGCTGGCAGTGCACTGTTTAAGCACACCTCCACTTCTGATTTTTGGCTGGCTAATTGGAGATAGGAGCGTTTGGATTTGTCTGCCCAGCTGGCTTCAAACCATAATACTCAGATCTCAGCCCTGTGAGTACCTAGATGAATTTTGTAACTTTTTTTGTGTGTTCATGCTGTCAGGGGCTCGAACTCAGGTCTTAGTGCTGTCTCTAAGCTTTTTTTGCTCAAGGCTACTGCTCTACTTCTGCCTCTTGGGTAATTTCTTGGAGATAAAGAGTCTCAAGTACTTTTCCGCCTGGTCTGGCTTTGCACTGTGGTCCCCCTGAGTGGCTAGGATTACAGGTGAGAGTGACAAGCTCAGGCTTAGGAAGTTTTTCTGTTCGTTGGTTAATTTGGGGGACTTTGCACTTGCAAGCTAAATGAGCCACACCCACGGCCCTTTGATTGGTTGTTTTTGTTTTCCATTTATGCATTTTTGTTTGTTTTGGGGGGGGGTTGTAGGGCTTTAACTCTAGGCCTGGCGCTGTCCCTCAGCTCTTCAGCTCAGCGCAAGCACTCTTAGTGGCACTTCCGGATTTCTGGTAGTTTATTGGAGATAAGAGTCTCATGGAAAAAACATAAAATAAAAGAAAATGAAAAGAAAAAAGAGTCTCATGGAGGGCTGGGAAGGTGGCTCAGTGGTAGAGCACTTGCCTTGCATGCATGAGGCCCTGGGTTCAATTCCTCAGCACCACATCAGCAGATAAAGCTGGAAGTGGTGCTGGGCGCTGGTGGCTCACGCCTGTAATCCTAGCTACTCAGGAGGCTGAGATATGAGGATCGCGGTTCAAAGCCAGCCCGGGCAGGAGAGACCATGAGACTCCGATCTCCAATAAACCACCAAAAAACCGGAAGTGGCGCTGTGGCTCAAGTGGTAGAACGCTTGCCTTGAGCTGAAGAGCTGAGGGACAGCGCCCAGACCCAGAGTTCAGGCCTCGTGACCGACCAAAAAAAAAAGTCTCATGGACTTTCTTGCTCAAGCTGGCTTTGAACCTTGATCTCAGCCTCCTGAGTTGCTACAATTATAGGTGTGAGCCACCAGCACCCAGCTATTCTATGCATTTTTGTTGGTAACATAAAGGGGATGGACAAGAGGGGTTAGTTTCATAATAAGTGTCACTCCTTCCCTCACCGGTCCACAGTGAGGTGTAGAGTTCATTCTCAACATGGTGTCTAGTGAGTCCCACTGCTGCCTTTGCTCACCCTCTGTCCCTCCATTTCTGCACCCTCCCCTCTGCAGTAGTACCGAAGGGTACAGGGGTGAGGCTGTGAGTGCCGTGCATCTTGGTCAACATCGCCTCCTCCTCCTCCTGCATCTGATGTGCGTGGTTCCGTTTTGAGCCAGAGTCTTAGAGCTGCCCGGGCTGGCCTCAGCTTTGACCTCCCACCCCTGCGTCCTGAGCAGTGGAGCGGTCCTGCACCACCACACAGACGAAAGCTGTTTGTTTTCAGATGAAAAGGGCACGTTTATGCCCGCAGAAGATACCACCGGGTCTTGAACTCATGGCTTGGGTGCTGTCCCTGAGCTTTTGTGCTCGAAGCTAGTGCTCTACCACGTTGAGCCACAGGGCTATTTCGGACTTTTTAAGAGTCTCATGGACTTTTCTGCCCTGTGTGTTCTGAACAGAGATCCTCAGAACTCAGCCTCCTTAAATCTCAGCTAAGATTACAGGTGTGAGCCACCAGTGCCCAGCTTTCATGTCAGTTTCTTGAGTATAAGATACAAAACCTGCCGGGCGCTGGTGGCTCACGCCTGTAATCCTAGCTACTCTGGAGGCTGAGATCTGAGGATCGCGGTTCAAAGCCAGCCCGGGCAGGAGAGATCGTGAGACTCCTATCTCCAATAAACCACCAGAAAACCGGAAGTGGCGCTGTATCTCAAGTGGTAGAGCGCTCGGCTTGAGCTGAAGAGCTGAGGGACAGCGCCCAGGACCAGAGTTTCAAGCCCCACGACCGACAAAAAAAAGATACAAAACCCTTCCAAGCCCCTAATCATGGACAGTACTGGTTGGCATGGACTGAAGTCAGTGCCTTGCCACAGCCCGAGTGTGGCGGCCTCATGGTGCAGGGAGAGGCCGGTGTGGTGAACTTGACGCCAGTCAGTAACCGCGCCCTGCGCCCTGTCTTGCAGGAGCTGTACCCTGCCTTCTGCATTCACAACGGAGGCTCGGACCTGGAGCGGCTCCCTACAGCCAGCACCTGCATGAACCTGCTCAAGCTCCCGGAGTTCCACGACGCGTCCCTTCTGCGAAGCAAGCTGCTCTACGCCATCGAGTGTGCTGCCGGCTTCGAGCTAAGCTGAGCTGGTTGGGCCAGGCCGGGCCGGGCCTGGCTGAGCTGGAGCGAGCCTGGGCTGACCCCCGCAGCCAGCACTGCCAGACCCTGGAGTGGGGTGCCCAGGCCAGGCTGTGCTCTCCTGCGTCTCCCTCTGGCATTTCTCCCCTCCATTTTTAGATCCTTTTTATTACAACATGGCCACTGAACTAGTTGGACATTGCTTTTCAGATAACTTGAAATCTCCATTGTTATGTGCCATGTGGCTTCATAATTTTGCCAAGAAGAGCACAGATTTTAGACTAGAGGCAACTCAGTGAAATGAACCAAAGATGACACTTTGGCCTTGCCGACCTTCAGCATGTGTCCTGAGCTGCCGCCGGGCCTGGGCCCCGCAGACCCCGTGGTCTGCAGAGAGGGAGAGGGGGCTGCGGGGCGGAGCCGCGGCCACCGCTTCACCGCTTCCGTGTGGTTGAGTGTTTACAAGCCTAATTGTCACAACTAAAGGCATTATTTCCTGCTGCCTTTTCCCAAAGTGGTTAGGTTTGGAAAATAGAAAAAATAGTATTATTTTTATTTTATTTGTGCTTTTCAAGCCATTCTCCCCCAGGCGGGACTCGCATGCTCGTGGTTACCCCTGACCCGCGCCGTGCGGTCAGTCGGGCGGTTGGTGTGTGGCTGTGCGGTGAGTTCTCTGCTGTTGCTGTCTGCTTTGGGCTTGGAGAGCTGTCGAGGAGGAGGAGGAGCACGCTCCCCAGGCCGGTGTGTCGCCTGCACCAAGGGGCGGGTGAGGAGCGTGGGAACTGCAGCTTCTATTAAAGCCGTTTGAACCAAAGTGGTGGGCTGCGTCTCTCCGCGACCCCCGGCCCCGCCCCGCCGCCGCCAGCCTGGGCGTCCTGGGCACCGTCCAGCTCGGCACCCTCTGCTGCTGCTTGGCACATGCGGGCTTCCCCAGCACGTGTCAGAGAAGATCCGGGTGGGTCTCATGTCGGCACTTTATCGGAGCCTGGGAGCGCTTGCCAGGGACCGCGTCCTCCGCCAGCCAGCGGCGTTGCGCAGGGCGAGCCGCACGCAGGTGCAGGCGCAGCCGTCGAGGCCTGGCGTGGCAGCGCCGAGAAGCGCGCAACTCCAGCCCCGCTGGGCTCACGGAGCTGGCGGACCGCAGCTAGCAATACACTTTTAAATGTGGGAAAACTGAATGACACTTTGAAGATAATGACCATTATCAAAACAAAATGTATAATTTCTTAATTTGAGTAATAAATTAAGTGTTTAAATGCTATTTGTAGCATTCATATACGGAGATGGCATTTCTTGGGTTTTCTTTTCTCTTTGGGGTTGATTACATTGAATGTTCTAAGTCTTCGTAGGTTTGTTTTTGTGTCTTCCACTGAGCTGCCTCCCCAGCCCTGTTTCTGTATCTTACAAGTGGTTTTTAAATGGAGTGTGAGACACAAAAGACAAACTTGGAATTATCCTTGCTTGTTCTTCCCCTCCGCTCTCCTAGCTTCTTTACTTAGGTGTGTGTGCTAATGGCTGAATGCTTGTATTAAACTTTCCCCAAAGACGACGTGGCCCAGGTCGGTCTGGCGGTTTATTCCGTAGTAGAGCACCGCCACACAGCCACCCTGCGGCCCCGGCCTGGCGCAGCCGGCGCCTGGTCTTGGCATTCCCCGTCAGCCGACAGTGCCCAGACCTCCCTGTGGAGACGTCTCCCTGCTCCGGGCCTGGGCGCTGTCCCTCAGCCCTTCAGCTCAAGGCGAGCGCACTACCACTTGAGCCATAGCGCCACTTCAGGCTTTTTCTGCCTAAGTGTTGCTGAGGAATTGAATCAGGGCCTCATGCATGCGAGGCAAGCGCTCTACCTCTGAGCCAGCTTCCCAGCCCACCCTTGCCTTTCTCAGTCGTGCTTGTTTTGGTGGCGGGCTGGTGCTCAGTCCTCACGGCCGTCACTGCTCGGAGACGGAAGCTCTCCAGTGCTCTGGGGCTTGCAGAGCTGCTGCTGGGCAGCCACAGTGCACCCCAGCCGGGGGCTTCCCTTCCCCACAGTCCACACAGTTCTCCCGCGCAGGCCCACCGCGCCGGCCACGTCAGCCCAGGTGTGGCGCTGCTGATAACCCTGCTCAGAAACCTGAGGAGATGGTGGTGAGCTTGGATTGATAGGCTGTGCTTCAAAGTGAAATGAAGAGGGGCTGGGAAGTTGGCACAGTGGTAGAGCGCTTGCCTTGCATGCATGAGGCCCTGGGTTCCAGTCCTCAGCACCACATAAGCAGAAAAAGCCGGAAGTGGTGCTGTGGCTCAGGTGGTAGAGCGCTAGCCTTGAGCTGAAGAGCTGAGGGACAGCGCCCAGGCCCAGAGTTCAGGCCCCATGACTGATAACAAAGAGAGAAATGAGCAATCTGAGAGGAACACTGTGGGCCACACCACGTTGCGTGTTTCCACTGTGTGGGACCCAACCCCACACAGGGCGGCGCCGCGGGGAGCGCCTGGCGGGCCTCCGGTCTCGGGTGCTGAGTGGGAGAAGCTGCCTGAGGAGGCCTGTGCCACAGGAGCCCCCGCCGATGCCCCCCGCCCCGCGGCCGGGCGCCTGACGCACTGCCCCCCCCCCCGCCCCGCGGCCGGGCGCCTGACGCACTGCCCCCCCCCCCCCCAGCCCCACGGCCGGGCGCCTGACGCACTGCCCACAGCCAGGGCACTGCCCGCAGCCAGGCTCGCTGGGGCCCGGCCAGATGAGAGCCCCCGCCACCCCCGTTGTCCTGGGAATCCCAGGTATGTGAGCTTGTTCCACGCCGCGCGGCCTTCCTCTGTCTCTCCTGGGCAGGCCGGGCTAAGCCAGAAAACAGCCCCAGAGTGGCCCAGTTGGTACGCCTGGTATAGCCTCCAAGTCTCCCAATGACAAAAGCTCTTCACTTCTGATCAGAAATTAGAAACGGCTGGTTTTGTAGCTCAATGGTAGAGTGCTTTTCTGGCATTTCTGAGAACCTAGATTTGGGTTTTGTTCTGCAGAAAGCGGCCAGGAAAGGGGGAGAGAAGCTAAGCAAAGCAGGCCTGTGAGCCGGCCTCGGCCCGGGCACGTGCCCTCCCCACCCCTGCCCACATGAAGGCGGGAGGGGAGGGGATGCTGCAGGCTCCTGGGGTTGGAGGAAAGGAGTCTGCACTGTCTCCGGTGCAGAGGGAAGCAGCCATCGTCACTGAGATAGCGTTGCAGTTCAAAGCCAGCTCAAGCAGCAAAGTCTGAAATACTTAACTCCATTTAACCACAAAAGGGCTGAAGTAGAGCTCTGACTCAAATGGGCCTCCTAACTAGCCTTGGACAAAAAGCTCAGAGACAGCACCAGGCAGTTGGTTCAAGCCCTATCACTGGCACTCAAAAACGCCACTCTAGGATGACTCTTGTGCCTGTGGTCCCAGCTGCTCAAGAGGCTGTGAGGGGGAAGATCTCTTGGGTGCAGAAGTTCAAGGTCAGCCTGGGCTTCACAGCTAGACTCGTACCTCAAATCAAACAGCCCACAGCTGCTGTGCCCCCAAACCTCCCTCTTCGCTCATCTGCATCTGCATAACCAGTTCCCCTAGGGAGACCCTGCGGTTTGCCAGGTGTTTGCCCTCTTTCTACTGTAAGCTTTGTTGGGGAGATGTCAGTCCTGGGGAGAAGTGAACGTTGCTGAGTATCCAGAACCTACTATGATACCTAGCACACAGTAGGGCGGCCACAATGACAAAACATACCCCTGACCCACTGGGAATCCTCCACGTCTGGCTGGGGAGTGGGCGCCCCCTACCAGGTCGGGTGAGGATCTGCAGCCTGGCCTGCGCAGCTCCAGGGCTGCCCGCCGTTCCCTATCTGGATGGCAACCAGTGCCCATGGTGACATTTTCTATCTGTTCCCAGGGTCAGCAGCATCCTGTGTGTCCCTTCTGGACAGTGCTGCACAGTGGAAGGTCAGAGCAGCTCACTGCACTGCCAACGCAGAGCAGCCTTCTGGCCAGCAGCCCTCCACACAGCGCCCCTGCATGCAGCCCACAGAAGTGTGCCCACAGAGGCGTCCGTCCTTCCCAGCCAGGAGACGGAGCCTGGACGTGTGCCCTGGAGCAGGAGCCAGCCGCGTGGTGTGTGTGCCCACAGCACGAATGTGTGCCCTGGAGCAGGAGCCAGCGGTATGGTGTGTGTGCCCACGGCACGGACATGTGCCCTGGAGCAGGAGCCAGCAGCGTGGTGCGTGTGCGTGTGTGCTCACAGCACAGACATGTGCCCTAGGAACAGGAGCCAGCAGCGTGGTGCATGTGTGCCCTGGAGCAGGAGCCAGCAGCGTGGTGCGTGTGTGTGTGTGCTCACAGCACGGACGTGTGCCCTGGGAACAGGAGCCAGCGGCGTGGTGCATGTGCCCACAGCACATGGCCTGTAACGAGGAAGCATGGTAAGGACCCCACAAGGCTCTGGGCTCCCAGCTGGGGTGCGCAGGACAGACGTCGATGCTGCTACATGACCGTGCAGAAGGAGCCAGGCCTGGGCCAGCCGGGCGCACGGTTACCGGCTTTGGGGACATTTGGTGAGGCTGTTCTGGAATTTAGGTAGTGTTGAGGGTTATTGTGCAATCTTGTAAATACACTTTGCAAAAGCACTGTGAGCCAGGCACCAGTGGCTCAAGCCTGTAATCCTAGCTACTCAGGAGGCTGAGATCTGAGGATTGAGGTTCAAAGCCAGCCCGGGCAGGAAAGTCTGTGAGACTCTTATCTCCAATAAACCACTCAGAAAACCAAAAGTGGCACTGTGGCCACTTTGCCTTGAGCCAAAGAGCTGAGGCACAGCGCCCAGACCCAGAGTTCAAGCCCCACACCAGACAAAAAAAAAAGTCTTGGGGCTGGGAAGGTGGCTCAGTGGTAGAGCGCTTGCCTTGCATGCCTGAGGCCCTGGGTTCGATTCCTCAGCACCACATAAACAAAAAGAAAAAAGCCGGAAGTGGCGCTGTGGCTCAAGTGGTAGAGCGCTAGCCTTGAGCTGAAGAGCTGAGGGACAGCGCCCAGGCCCAGAGTTCAGGCCCCACGACTGGACCAAAAAAAAAAAGTCTCACAGACCTTCCTGCCCAAGCTGGCTTTGAACCTCGATCCTCAGCTCTCAGCCTCCTTGAGTCTCTAGGATGACAGGCGCAGTGCTGATGGCTCTGGAGGCCCAGCCAGCCACGCCCAGCTGTGGAGCTGGCATCATGCTGTGCTGTCCAAGGCCAGGGTTGGTCGCCTTTGTGACATGTGTGGTAGGAAATGGTCAACGGGAGCGGAAGATGTTCGCCACAGCACAAGGCCAAGGCTGGACAAGACCCAGGCATCACAGGGTCACACTGGTGGCAAGGGCACAGGCTGCACCCCCCACCCCCCACCTCCGCAACCCCGGGGACCAAGACCACAGCCTCGCCCTCCCCCACGCCAGCCCCCCCCACGCCAGCCCCACACCGGCCCCCCCCATGCCAGCCCCCCCCACGCCAGCCCCACACCGGCCCCCCCACACGCCAGCCCCCCCCACGCCAGCCCCCCCACGCCAGCCTCCCCCCACGCCAGCCTCCCCCCACGCCAGCCCCCCCACGCCAGCCCCCCCCCACGCCAGCCCCCCCACGCCAGCCCCCCCCACGCCAGCCCCGCCCCACGCCAGCCCCCCCCACACCAGCCCGCCCCCACGCCAGCCCCCCGCACGCCAGCCCCCCCCCACGCCAGCCCCCCCCACGCCAGCCCCCCGCACGCCAGCCCCCCCCACGCCAGCCTCCCGCACGCCAGCCCCCCCCCACGCCAGCCCCCCCCACGCCAGCCCCCCCACGCCAGCCCCCCCCACGCCAGCCCCCCCCGCACGCCAGCCCCCCGCACGCCATCCCCCCGCACGCCAGTCCCCCCCTCCCGCACGCCAGCCCCCCCCACGCCAGCCGCCCCCCACGCCAGCCCCCCCCGCACGCCAGCCCCCCCCCCCGCACGCCAGCCCCCCCCCCGCACGCCAGCCCCCCCCCGCACGCCAGCCCCCCCCTGCACGCCAGCCCCCCCCCACGCCAGCCCCCCCCCCGCACGCCAGCCCCCCCCACGCCAGCCTCCCGCACGCCAGCAGGTGGCAGCAGCAGCCTGAAAATGCCTCCAAACTGCTCTGAATGAATTTTTTTTTTTTTTTTGGTCTTTTTTTTGGGGGTCCGGTCGTGGGGTTTGAACTCTGGGCCTGGGCGCTGTCCCTCAGCTCTTCAGCTCAAGGCTAGCGCTCTACCACTTGAGCCACAGCCCCACTTCTGGCTTTTTTCTTTTTGCTTACGTGGTG